TTATTTCATGTGTTGGTTTGATAATTACACGGAACCGACCGTCAGCCGAGGCACAAGACGTTCAGATCAAAATCAAGACACCGAATCAAAGATACACTGAGAAGACACCTTAACTTTCTGTTATTTCAGTTGTCGTTTCAATTAACTGTCAATAACTATAAAAGTAATGAAGTGTAGTTATGTACGTAGTTTAACTGATCCTTGACTGATCTCCAAAGAGGAGAAGCTCTAGAAACCTGAAAGAGAAGAAGAAATCAATAAAGAAAAGTTTCTGATCTTTTTTTTTTCTTTACAACTTTTATAATACAAGTCTGAGAATCTAATTTCCTAAACTAAAGCAATCACATGAGGTTATACCAAATTATATTTGTGCATGGTATACATACGAGATATGAATTCATAAGATTCGTATCTTCAATACATAACTTGCCTCGTAAGTCTTCGAAAGCTTCTCGCTCTAAGGGCTTGGTGAAGATATCCGCCAATACTGAGCTTTAATTAGTTACATGAGTAAGAACAATCGTTCCAGCAAGACATTTATCTCGATCCTGGTGACAATTTTCCTCTATGTGTTTCTTCCGTTCGTGAAATATGTCACAAAAGTTGAGGGTAAGGCACACTAATTAATAGTACCCAAAATATTTTTTAAAAAGATTTAACCAAACCAATCGCCTACTTTATCTACCTTGGAAATCTTGTCTCTTGTTTATTTTGATTTAATGGCGTCAAAGGCAATGTAGTTGAAGAAAGTTTAATAGCTTCAGGACTCGAAAAGTTTGGATGATGATGGCTTGAGAAAGCTTTGGGTAGAGATCATTTAAGCGTTTAAGATAATACACATGGATAATTCAAGTAACAATACTATACAACGATTTAGCTGTGTTAATTATTTTTTGTGAAATAATATGTGAATCAATAGTACTGAAACGTAGAGGGACACTACAAATAATTTCTTCAATTCTTCCTATGGTTTTAGTCACATTATTGTTTTCAAAACTGAAAACTAGACTTTTGTGTCCTCTATTGTCTTTCAGGAGAAATTAGACTTTACTGTTCTGTTTTAGATGTATGTTTGGTTTGGTGTCTGAGTCTCTGAGCATTAAGACATAACTTCTACTACTGTCTATCTTTGTAATCGCTTTACTCTCGACAACCTAACCAAGTTTACTTATGATCTTTCTCGAGAAATGTAACAAAAGACTTGACAGATTACACAAATTCTACGATTTTGAATTGAGATGCTCTTACAACAAATTAAGTGTAAACCATAAAACCAAACACCTCTTTTCAGTTTTGTTTTTGCTTTCCTGTATGATTATCGGTAATGTCCTCAGAAGAACCAGAAACGATTCTCCTTTAATTTGTTCACTCTCTGAATCAATAACGCACGTAAAACAAATATAGAACAAACTGAAACAGAGAAATAAATCAAGAATTCTGGAGTGAAGTCTATATATATAGCATTCTTAACTACTTTTGTACTAAAATAAACTATTATTAATTCTTCCTCCAAATCAGTTATTTTCATGTAGATAAACGAAATCAGCAAAAAGAGATTTTAGGATAATGCAAAAACGAAACACAAGTTAGAGCTATGAACCTGTCAAAGTCCTCACTCAAAATATGATCACACCACTCAAGTTTACCCCAAATCTCTCCTCCTTGAGGTCTCTCCAGCGAAATCTCCGCACACCAAAACTTACTTATTAATCCAAAACCTTTACGAAGAAACAAAACCAGTCTCCCACCGTAGCTCACAGTCTCTGACCACCATGAATCTGTCGTCTCAGGCAACAACTCTTCCAAACCTTTCACCACACTCCAACGCTTTTGCTTTGGATCATATAAGCTCTTAATATAGTATCAACGCAATCAAAATCGTAGCAGTACAATACGTCATCAACTACACACACGTTCTTCCACTCCTTAGAATCCAACATCTCGTCTGTTTCCCATCTACTCTTCTTTAGGTCGTAAACAAAGCTCTTACCAGACTTACGACCATAACCTCTCATGTACAGCTTATCAGCCATAACCAAACAATAATAAGGCCACATCTTACGTAGCTCGTTGTCTATCTCTATCATCTCAGGCTCCCACATTTGTGTTTCTGTATTGAACACCACCATCACATCCGTTCTTTCATTATCAACGCAATATCCAAGTACGTATATCTTCCCGTCGATGATGCCAGCTAATGTCTCAGCCATGAATGTAGGCTTGCTTGGGAGAGGTCGCGCTGTGTGAGATTGCCAGTCGATGATTAAGGGTTGTGATGTCTGTGCTTGTCGTGATTGTTAATCCAAACAGACACACACATCCTCCAACCCACCGTGATAGAGCTGCTAGGGTAACACATATTGGTAAGTGACGGAATAAGAACCAAGTCGCGACTGCCGTTGGCTTCGCATAGGAGAATATACTGGGCTGGCCCAGGGCTAAAGTTCATGAAGCAAGGGCTTCAGGGCAGCCCATTATAACAAAAATTTTGGAGCATCAAATATGACTTGATTTTTATTTTTAATCCATATTTAACTAAAACTCATCGACATTTTTTTTTAAATAATGTTTTGGTTTGTCCCACATCGAAAAACTAGCATAATTCAGAAGAAAAACTGCATTATAAATAAGTCTTTGGTCTGATGGGGGCATTATTTGATCTTGGGCCAGCCCTTACATTTTAGGCGTCATATGAGTTTAGGCCGGCTAACAATCATCACCGGTTTTGGTACAGAGGACTAGATAGAAACAGTGTTCGGTACAGCCCAACAATAATCGTCTCACGTATAGCTCAGAAGATGCAACAAGTGATCGGAAGTACTTTGAAACGAGGGAGAGGATTGGATAGTCGCATATGGGTACATGCGCTAAGATATCAACGATGACGTCTTCAGGAAGTAACATAATCAGAGACGACTGCTCCTTCTCTGCCCTAATTTTGGAAGACATGTGTAGAGTAAGGCGGGGAAGCACAAAACCATAATTTTGTAGGCTCAAATCAACAATCACCAAGAGAGAGAGAGAGCAAACCCTTATTCCGATCTGCTCTTACGAAACATAAAACCTTTCCTTTCTTTTATGGAGTATATTCTTTTGTATATATATTTTCAAATATAAGATTTCTTCAGGAAAAAAAAAAGAGTCTTGCAGAAACGTGGAAAAAAAGAAAGGAGTTCAATTCTCGTTTCAAAAGAAAAAAGGCCTATTGTGCCAAGCTCAATTAGATGTGGTTCACAACCAGCAAAAGCCCAAAAATGTTTAATCAGGTTTGTCTCGGTGTAAGATTGAAAAACCAATTTATATTTCAGCTTTGCTTAATAACTTTTTTGTTTACTTTATGTTATGATCAACTTTATCTTTAAATTCAGAAATTTAACAATCTACCACTAGCTTTCTTAAAGAAGGTAATCTTCATAACAAATTAAAATACCATAAATTAGTCTTTCAAAACTAATATTTGAATTTTTTTTATAGAAATGTAACTAAAAATTTTAGGAGATGTAGCTAAAATATTTTGATGTAGCTAAAATATTTTGATATAGGCGGATGTAGAAAAACATTTAGTTGGAGACATAATTTTATAATCAGGGAAAAAAATTTTTTGTTGGGAGCAACTTTTTCTTTTTTTTACTACTAAATTAAAAAATTAATTAAATTTACCTAAATTATTTTTAAAAAATAAAAAATAGTAGGGGGCACATGACCCCGTGCTGCCCTCACTACCTCCGCCCATAGCCTAAAATATTTTCGATCTGAGGAAGAGTAAACTATAGTCTCTAAAACTACAAAATAAGTGTTTTAGAAAGAAAGAAATAAAAATGAACAAAAAAAGGCTGTGAAATATATACAATGTTAAAAATTCGATAACCAAACCAGTCACATACTTTATCTACCATGAAAATCTTGTTTTCTAGTTAACTTGATTTGCCCGCGTCAAAGGCAATGTAGAAGAAGAAAGTTTCAATGCTTCAGGACTCGAAAAGTTTGGATGATGATGACTTGAGAAAGCTCTGGCTAGAGACCAATTAAGCGTTAGAGACATACATAAACGACATATATAATTCCAGAAACTAAACATCGATTTAGCTGTGTTAATTGTATTTTTTTTTGTGAAATAATATGTGAATGAATGGTACTGACTACTGAAACGGATCAGAGAGAGACTACAAATGATTTCTTCAGTGGATCTTCTTCCTATGGTTTTAATCACGTTATTGTTTAAAAATCTGCAAACCAGACTTTAGTCTTTCAGGAGAAAGTAGACTTTACTGTTCCGTTTGAGATGTATCTTTGAGTTTGGTGTCTGAGAATTGAGAAAGAACTTCTACTACTATAGACAATCTGACCAAACTTTCCTTGGTGCGTAACTTCTGTGTGGGTTTTAGTATTTTAGATTTGATCCGTGTTATGTTAAAAGAAGAACTTATATACTTTGGAAAGATCTAAATCACTTTTCTTGATGAGAACACGAGATTCGAGTTTTGGATCAGTGACTCTAAGATACATATACCTCATATATTACATTTACATATGATCATTCTCGAGAAATATAACAAAACACTTGACCGATTAGAAAATTTCCACGTACGGTTTTAAACCAAACACCTCTTTTCCACGTACGGTTTTAAACAAAACACTTGACCGATTACAATGTATAGAACATAAAACCAAACACCTCTTTTCAGTTTTGTTTTTGCTTTCCTCATGTGTTATCATCGGTAATGTCCTTAGAAGAACCACAAACGATTCTCCTTTTACACACCCTCTGAATCATTTACGTACGTAGAACAAATATAGAACAAACTGAAACAGAGAACTAAATCAAGAATTCTAGGATAAAGTCTTATAGCATTCTTAACTATTTATATTTATTAATAAACTATTGGTTTTTCCTCAAATCAGCTATTTCATTAACATAAATGAAATCAGCAAAAACAGATTTAATTAGGATAACAAAAAAAAACGAACAGAAGCTATATACATGAAAGAGAGTTCATGCATCAAACCATTACAGCTAAATATGTGGTCGCGTTAAAATTCCCAGTAAAAACATGATCACACCACTCAACTTTACCCCAAATCTCTCCTCCTTGATGTCTTTTCAACGAAATCTCCGCACACCAAATCTCATATATTACTCTTCCACCTTTATGAAAAAACAAAGCCAGTCTCTCACCGTAACTCACAGTCTTTGACCACCATGAACTTGTCGTCTCAGGCAACAACTCTTCCAAACCTTTCACCACACTCCAACACTTTTGCTTTGGATCATACGCTCTTAACATACTCTCAACACAATCAGAATCGTAGTAGTACAATACGTCATCAACTACACACGCGTTCTCCCACTCCTTAGAATCCAACATCTCGTCTGTTTCCCATTTACACTTCTTTGGGTCGTAAACAAAGCTCTTAGGAGTCTTACGATCATAACCTCTTATGTACAGCTTATCAGCCATAAACACACCACCAGGCCACGTGATACGTATCACATTGCCTGTGTTTATCATCTCAGGCTCCCACATTTGTGTTTCTGTATTGAACACCACCATCCCCTCCATACCCTTATACCCAGTTACGTATATCTTCAAATGATACCAACAAATGACCCAGCAACAATGGGTATAGGCATTCTCGGGAGAGGTTGCACCGTGTGAGATTGACAGTCGATGCTTAAGGCCCTTGATGTCTTGTTGTGATAGTTATTCCCACCAAACGCATATATCCTCGAACCCATCGCGATAAAGCTTCTAGGGAAACACAAATCGGTAAGCGAGGGGATAAGGACCAAGCGGCGTTTGCCGTTGGCTTTCCTGCGGAGAATATACCAATCGTCCTTATGGGTTCTTATGTTATATGAGACAACATAGAGACAGTGTTCGATGCAGCCCAACAATGATCCTCGCGTCTAGCTCAGGCGACATAACGAGTGACCGGAAGTGCTTTGAAACGAGAGAAAGTGTTGGATTGTTGCATCTCGGTACACGCGCTAAGATGTCAACAATGACGTCCTCGGGAAGTAACATAATCAGCGACGCTTGCTCCTTCTCTACCCTACTTTTGGAAGACATGTGTAGTGTTTGGCGAGGGTAGCGCAAAACGATTGTAGGCTCAAATCAACAATCACCAATCAAGAGAGAGAGAGAGCAAACCCTAATTCCGATCTGCTCTTAGAAAAAAACAAAACCTTTCCTAATATTATCTTTCATATATTCTTCTGTACATGTTTTCATATATAAAAAACAAATAAGATGCAACTCTTTCTTGGAAAAAAAAAAAAAGAGTCTCGCGGAGTTCAATTCTCGTTTCAAAAGCAAGAAGGCCTATTGTGCCAAGCTCAATAAGTTTAGTTCACAACCAACAAAAACCCAACAAGATGTTAAATCAGGTTTGTCTCGGTGTAAGATTGAAAAACCAATCTATATTTCAGCTTTGCTTAGTAACTTTTTTGTTTACTTTCTGTTATGATCAAATTTATCTTTACATTCAAAATTTGACGAACTTCCACTAGCTTTCTTAAAGAAGGTAATCTTCATAACAAATTTGAATACCAAAAGAATATTATCGCTATGTAATTTTAAAAGTCTAGAAGTTGATAATATGTTATGAAATTTACATATAACTACATTTTTTTTATATATTTCATGAACCTTTTTTCTGAGTCTATACTACAATTTTTGGATTATTTGAATCATGGGGTTCAACATAGGTTGATAAACAATAACAAATATCATATCATGATACAAATTTACCTCAGATCTCCAGTGAAGAGCCGTTAATTGTAGTCTCTTGTGTTAAATATAAAGATGTCCATTTCGAATGTGATGCATGTAATACCATCTATCATAAATCCTTATACTGCTAGTAAAATTTTTCATTGTGGAAGGAACCGTCCATGTATTTCCAACTGATGCAAAAATAGATTTACTCGTCGTGGTACAGCAATAGTTTGTAATAAAAAAATATATTCTAAATGATATAACAGAAAACAAACAAAAATCATCATACAATGGATCCAATTAAATAAAATCTTAGACCATGAAATACTAATTTTTGACTCGTGAAAAAAATGATCTTGAAATTTTGGTATTTCTGGATTTGGATCTGACCAATCTAGCTTCTGTGAAGTTTGAATGCTGGGTGGATCGGTCATGCTAATTGATGCGGCTGCATCGACGGAGCCATTGACTGCAACTTAACGAGCTTCTTCTTATCTTTAGTTTTATGTTCGTTTTTGGGCTTTTACTTTTATTTATGGGACGAAATACTTACTTCGAGATCACATTTTTGGTCAGGCCTGAAGGTACTTTTCCAGATTGTATCATGTTATTCTGCAGGTACCTGCAATCAATTATGCAGGTTAGGTGCATTAAAATGTATATTACACAACCATATCCCGCCATATGAGTTAATATATCAAGAAAAAAAGGAGTCATTTTCATATAGCTTACAGTTCCTTCATATTCGAGAGCTAGGCCAACGAGAAAGAGATCTTTCCGGTTTGTTAGCTTTCCTCAAGATGTCTGCCATAGAAAACATTTAGTCCATCATCTTTTTTTAATAAAAATAAAAAAAAAACCTGTTTTTACATTATCTCCAGGTTTGGGGACCGAGAGAAATCCGGTATTGGACCCGTAAATGAATTCTCGTCAAACCATCTGCATTCAACAAAAGTTACAACATCAATAACAGGAATATCTATTTATATTTCCAGATTCAAATTTCTAAGATAAAAGGAATGTACAACTCAACTAGACCAGTCAGTTTGGCCAGGTCAGAAGGTATAGTTCATGTCAACATCATTTTTGACAGTTTAATGCAGTTATAAAAAGAAAAGGCAAACAATTAACTAACAAAAATTTGAAACATGTGTATGCTTAAAAGGTAGAATGACTTACACAGCAATAATTCTAGGCTGTGTAAGGAAAACAAAAATTAAATATAAAAATAATATAAAATATAATTAAGTAAAATGTAAGCAAAACATAAGTAAAATAAAAGAAAAACATAAATAAAAAATAAACCACGTTTCAATTTATTCGATATTGTGAATGTATCGTTTATATTTTTAAGATACTTGTTGTAAAAAATAAGAAAACCATCAGCTAATAATCTCTTACAAAAATATCTATAAAAACGATTGTAACAATGCCCTAACATAACTGTTATCGGGCTCAAACAGGGAAGCCTATCTTATTAACATGCATGTATTACAACTATGTAATGGTTCATTATTTTTCTTTGCTTGCTGTAACTGCAGCAAACTGTCCAAAATGAATTTTACCGGAACTGTACCTTCTAACTTGACCAAACTGACAGGTTTAATTAAGTTATAAGTTACTTTTATCTAGTTGAAAAAAAAATGTAACTTACAACTCAATTAAACCAATCAGGTTAATAATAATATTATTATTTTTTATATTCGTTGGCAAAATTTTCAAATCTGAAAAAAATATAAATTAATTATATATACGTTAGAATATCAATATTTGTCACACAAACATAGTTATCATCCATAATCTAATTATCAACACAATCAATTAATTAAATAAATAAATTTTGTTTTTTTCCATCAAGAGTTCTTAACCACGTTTCTAGATTTCTTTTTCCATCGTTATCATCCACATTCTAGATCTCTTAAGAGCATGTACATTGGAGAAATTCTCCTTGAAGTTTCTAAGAATATAAAAGTAAATTTTTGGGATATATGAACAGTGAAGGATATGTTTGAGTTTTGTGTCTCCATTAGTGAATCCTTCCCCAACAAACCAAAAAATGGTCGAGAACAAAATAGTTAAGATGGGTCCAAAACATTTTTTGAGTAGAAACCAATAATCAATCAACAGTTGTCTTAAAAACCCATTAAAACTAATCCTTAAAATCTTTATATAAGGATCGGTTTATAAGTTATTGAGTTTTTTCCATTTTTTTTATTTCATATTACCTAGGTTTTTGGGCCAAAAATCTCTCTAGAACTGCTGATGGACATGGTCTAACCACTCTTGTAAAGAATCAATCAAAGTTTCATATTAAAGTATGCTTTTCAAATGGCTATACACTTAATTTGGACTGAGAGAAATCGTAGAAGACACGGAGAAGAATATAAGACGGACAAGCGATGAGAAACCGTCTAAGTACCAAAAGAAAGCAAGGAGAAAAACGATTTGAAGATGAATGGCGAGTGTGGTTTGCCACAAGAAGAGTTTGAAATCCTTTTGTAGTTTTTCTTTATTCCATTTCAGAAAAACATAAAACTTTCATGTAAAAGTTTATTTTTTCTTTGAATATAATTTAACATTTTATTGATAAAAAAACAAAATATAGACCATAAAACCAAACAACTCTTTTCAATTTTGTTTTTTCTTTCCTCATATGTTATCATCGGTAATGTCCTCAAGAAGAACCACTAACAATTCTCCTTTTACACACTCTCTGAATCATTAACGTATGTAGAACAAATATAGAACAAACTGAAACAGAGAACTAAACCAAGAATTATAGGGTAAAGTCTTATAGCGTTCTTAACTCCTTTTATTATAAATAAATAAACTACACTATTGGTTTTTCCTCAAATCAGCTATTTTCATTTACATAAATGAAATCAGCAAAAAGAGATTTAATTAGAATTACGAAAAAGCGAAACACAAGTTATATGAAGGAGAGTTCATGCATCAAACCATAACAGCTAGAGGTTTCGGAGAACTAAAATTCCGAGAAGTAAAAACTTGATCAAACCACTCAACTTTACCCCAAATCTCTCCTCCTTGACGTCTTTCCAGCGAACTCTCTACACACCAAATCTCATATGTTTTTTTCTTTACCTTTACTGAGAAACAAAGATATTTTTCCACCGTAACTCACAGTCTTTGACCACCACGAAATTTCCCGTATCAGGCAAAGACTCTTCCAAACCTTTCACAACTCTCCAACACTTTTGCTTTGGATTATAAGCTCTTAGAGCATCTCCATCCATGAACCCCTCTTTGGGGTTCATAAGTATTTAATTTAATTTTTGTATTTTTTTTTTTTGGGTGATGAACCCCAACCTATTTGATCCCTCCAACCATGAACTCATGTGTGGGGTTTATATGAATAAAATAATAAAATTTATTTTTAATTTTGTTATAAATCGAAATAATTCATATTAAATTTGAAAAAAAATAAAAACATAAAACACAGATATATAACATGATATGTTATTTAAAAAAACAAATTATTAAAATTATTAAGAAAATAACAAAATACAAATACTAAAAGTAGAATACATTTAATTGGAAGGGTGAGTTGATCCAAATTTTTGCCAAATATTTTCAACCAAATCAGCCTTCAAACGTTGATGAATTCGGTTATCACGAACTTGATTTCTATTCCCGATCAAATTAGAGATATTTGTGGGCATATTTGTTGAATACGTCATATCGACTTCTGAAGTTCTGCTTCCTTCTCCTTGTTGAAATTCAGAAAAATTATATTGAGAGTTGACCGGTCTTTCATCTTCCACTATCATATTGTGTAATATGATACATGCTCTCATAATCTTCCCAATTTTTGCTTTATCCCATATAAGAGCTGGGTTTTTAACAATGGCGACCCTGGCTTGCAAAACTCCGAACGCTCTTTCGACATCTTTTCGTGTTGATTCTTGGCATGTAGCAAATAAAGTGTCTTTTTCACTTTGGGGACCGGAAATAGATTGGATAAATGTTGCCCATTTGGGATAAATACCGTCGGTTAGGTAATATGCCAGATTATACTGATTTCCGTTGACATAGAACCTCACTTTTGGAGCTCGACCTTGTAATATGTCATCAAAAACGGGTGAGCGGTCTAGGACATTAATATCATTTAGAGTACCTGGAGGTCCAAAAAAGGCATGCCAAAACCATAAATCGTATGATGCTACAGCTTCTAAGACAATTGTTGGTTTTCCCGCACCCCGTGTATATTGTCATTTCCAAGCGGTCGGGCAATTTTTCCACTCCCAATGCATACAATCAATGCTACCAATCATCCCGGGAAATCCACGTTCCTCTCCTTCACGAAGTAGACGTTGAAGATCTTGCCTTGTGGGTCTTCTTAAGTATTCATCCCCGAACAAAGATATTATTCCTTGGGTGAAATGTTCTAAACATGAAATTGCAGTACTTTCACCGAGACGTAGATACTCGTCAACTGCGTCAGCCGCAGTACCGTATGCCAACATCCGAATTGCCGCCGTACATTTTTGTAACCCAGAAAGACTTAGTCTTCCAGCAGCATCTCTCCTTTGTTGGAAAAATGGGACTTCATTGGATAGCCGTTCTACAATATGCATGAACAATGTCTTGTTCATCCTAAAACGGCGGCGAAATAAATTGGAAGGATATGTAGGATTTTCGCTGAAGTAATCTTCCCATAATTGGTGATGACCTTGTTCGTGATGTCTTTCAATGTATGCCCTCTTCTTCTTCTTCTTTTGATCGACTTGACGCTCAAGTAAAGAGTAGAACGCGGTGTCAAATTTTTGATCAAAAAGATCATCAAATGCATCATCTAAACTTTCATCATTCTCCTCATTGAAAGGATTGTTGGATGAAGATGCCATTGATAAAAAAATAATGTGCTTGAAGGTTAAAAAAAGATGAATGAGATGGGGAAGAAAGACGTTGAAGAGATTTAGGATATGGTGAAGACTATGGTTTCTTAATACTCTTTATATAGAAAAGGAGATGAAAATTTTGTGGATACAACGACAAGCATAAAATTTTGTGGATACAATTACACGTAAATATATGTGGGTACAAACATATGACAAACCAATAAATCAGAATTTGTGGTGAAAGTTGTATTCCATTATTTGTTCAACTTTGCCAACTTGTGCCAACTTGCGCCAACTACCAAAAGGAGATGGACCCTCCATTCCATTATCCATGATTAGTCACAAAGAAGAGACAAACCACAACCTGTGCAAGACAGAGGCATCAATAAGCAAGACAGAGGCATCAATAAGCTTAAAGAAAAATAAAGTCCAAGTCGGCATACAAGAAAAATCAGAACTACAATCCAATACAACATTCGAACATACAACCAAATTCGGACTTAGTAATCCGAGTTATAAACCACTACAACCATACCATACGAACATAAGAAAAAGAAACATTAAACAAACCTAAACCAACTTAAGCCGAAATCGAAATCTAAAAAAACAATTCATTGAGCAGTTTCTCCTTAACTACCATTTCTTTCTCTGTTAGTGAATCGGTTCTTAAAACCAAACTATCTAGCAATTTCTGCTTAGATAGCTTATCTTTCATAGCTAAATCATGTTGTTTAATTTCCCACATGGTGACCACATCGGACACCTCTTTGCCATCATCTTTATCTGGTGCACTCCTTTTACTCCTCGCATTCTTCGCAGCCTTCACACCCGGTGGACGAACAACAGAAGAGTCTTCTTCATAACTCTGATGTTGCGATGTTGCAGAAGCTTGTGAGCAGTCATCACCCTTTTTACGTTTTTTGCCCTCAGACTCTTTCACCGCTGACAATGAAGACCACTTCTGGTCGTGCCTGAGTTCCCTCCACGCATGCTCCAGCCCAAACTTGAAGCCGTGATCGTTAAGGAAGATTTCATGAGCAGTCTTCATCAAGTCGTTGTCGTTCATCCCACTGCTTTGTTCTTTCAAGGCGGCTTCATAGCAGCCAACAAATTTACATGTCTGGTCGTTGATACGCCCCCACCGTTGCTTGCAATGGCTGACCGTCCTATCTGGAAACGCAGCTAACTGTCGACTGTTGTTGAACCAATCCGTAATGCGCGACCAGAAAGCACCTGCTTTCTGGTCATTCCCGACAATGGGATCTTTGCTGGTGTTCAACCAAGCCGAGATCAACACAATGTCTTCAGTGGGATGCCACTTCCTCTTGGTTGTTTTAGTCTCAGCCGTTACATTTGGGTCGTTGGAGTACTGTGTACTATAGCGTGGGAGTTGGGAGGAAGCAGGCTCAGAACTTGGTGGAAAAGAGAAACTGTTTTCCTCTTGGCTGGTTAAAAGGTTAAGAAAACCTTGGGAGTGAGCATAAGGGTCCGGCGAATCCATCACGAAAGACAAAGCGTGGATTGCACAAAGAATAGGAGAGAAGGAAATAAGATCGGTTGAAGAGTAGGGAATATGAGGAATTGCAGAGAAAGTTTAGATTAAATAAGGGGTTGGTGAAGAGGAGGGAATAAGAAGTTACCTAAAGTTGTTCAGCGGTTTTTATAATGAGTTTTGAAGTGATAAAAGTTTGGTTAGTAATGAATGAAAAGATCTGTTAGCAATGAATGAAAAGATTGCAAAAGTTTTCCGAGAATAGTTTAGGGTTAGTATTAACTAAGCATTAACTAAGCCGAGCTATACAAGTTAGGTTAGTAATGAATGAAAAGCTCTCTTAGCATTAACTAAGCCGAGCTATAGAAGAAGTGATCGATGACAAGAAAGTCTACATCTATAAAACCTAACCACAATTTACCCTAATCCAATCAACCAGCAGTGACAAGTAACTACCTATATTTAATGACAAGCATTAACTACATTTCAAGGTAAAATTTACTAACCTTCCATCGTGGCAAGCTAATCTGCAATTCATTGGGGCTTTTGGATTCATCAAGGGATCGTTTTCATGATAACCTCGCAAAAACATTAAAGAAACAATTGTTAGCAAACTCTTAAATAAATAACAGAGACAAAGAATTTGAAAAGAAGAATTACCTATCTGCTTCACTCCCTCCTGCCGCCTAACCTGCCAATGAAATCCGAAAGAAGGAAAGAAAGCAGTAACCGAGTTCACCAAGGCAATAACAAAACATACATAGATGCATTAACCATAACGAGTCTTAACAAAGATTGTCTTCCTAATAACAACAACATCCCACATAAATAAGAAAGGAAATAGCTGCTTAACACATAACAGCTTATTTCTACTACTTGAACATGTATGAAAGGGCCGCAAATACACGAATCGGCATGATCTGCATGTAAGTTAGCAAACTCATTACTTAAACATACCAAACTCATTACTTAAACTGATTAATGTTACACTAGCTAATCAGCGTTTACTTGAACACCTAACAATTATCATTAAACTCTTGAACAAGCAATGACACCACTAAACACTTACATAAATCGTATGGTCTCAATTTCAATTTAACACTTACAATTCGTTTTATAACAACAACCACACCATTACGCATCACATGTATAGAATCAAATGCATAAATCAATTTATAGGAAAACCCCTAAAGTTTTATCAAATCGCTGGAAAAAAAAAATTTCCCAATTGTTGAAACCCTAATTGCAATCAATCATAGATTTCGTTTTCGTTTTCTAACAACAAACCCAATAACCAACGCAGGTCTTGAATCAAACGCAGTAAACGATTTCATTCAAAAACCCTAGATTTTTCATTTCGACAAACCCTAAATTTATCCCCAAATCCCAAATCCCTAATTTCTAACAACGAAATAACAAACAAATAGAAGCACGAGATACACTGAACTTACCTTTGCTTACGAGATCGGCGAATATCGGCTCGAATCACCGGTGACGGCGTTGGGATGGAGATCGGCGTAAATCGCGATGGAGATGCTCGAGAGAGTTTTCGTCTTCTTTTTTTTCGACACGAAATTTTGCAAAGGAAAAAAAAGAGAAACCCTGAATTTTCTCTTCCCACAGAGCGAATGAATTAGCGCCACGTGGCCAGTCATACTGAGTTATACGGGCTCGAAAGTATGAGTCTAGTCATACGGGTTGAATGAATTTGGGCTTATTTAATTAATTTTGAACCCAACAAAATTTAAAAGCCCCACTTGTGAACCTGTGTTAAACCTCCGTTGGAGGTGGTCTTATCTCGTTCTCCTCCCGATTGTGGTAGTACAATAAATACGTCATCAACTACACACGCATTCATCCACTTCTCAGAATTCAATATTTCGTCCCTTTCCCATTTACTTTCCTTTGGATCCTAAACAAAGCCGTTATAAAGAGAACCAGTCGTGTACAGCTTATCTGCCATCACCACACAGGTGTCTATCTTAAACCACATGTTACTTAGCTCAGTGTCTATCTTTATAATCTCCGGTTCCCACATTTGAGTTTCTGTATTGAACACCACCATCACTTTCTTCGATTCATAGTTTCCAATTACGTAGACTCTCCCGTCAAATCTACCGTCAATGGTGCCAGTGATTCTTTCATATATAGGCACAGGCATGTTGGAGAGGGGTTGCAACGAGTGATCGTAGGTGCTTACAAACGAGGGAGAGTGTTGGATAGTCGCATTTGGGTACACGTGCTAAGATGTCAATGATGACGTCTTTAACGTAATCAGAGACGATTGCTCCAATTTCGGAATACATGTGTAGATTTTGGCGAGGGAAGCGTAAAACCTTAATTGTGTAGGCTCAAATCAATAATCAATCGAGACAGAGAGAGAGAGCAATTCCTAATTCGAAAACGTGGAGCAAAGAATGGAGTTCAATTCTGGTTTCAAAAGCAAGAAGGCCTATTGTGCCAAGCCCAATACGATTTGGTTCACAACTACAACCAACAAAAGTCCAACAAGATGTTTAATCAGGGTTGTCTCGGTGTAAGATAAACAAAACCAATTTGTATTTCAGCTTTGCTAAGTAACTTTTTGGTTCAATTTATCTTTAAATTCAAAGTATAACGATCGTCCACTAGCTTTTTTTTATAAAAAGGAAATGTTCATAACAAATTTGAATACCAAAAGAATATTATCGCTATGTAATTTAAAAGTTTAGAAGTTGATAATATGTTATGAAATGTACATATATAACTACATTTATTTTTGTTTAAAGTTAGATTTCATGAACTTTTTTCTGAGTCTACTACAATTGTTGGATTATTTGAATCATGAGGTTCAATATAGGTTGATAAACGATAACAAAGATCATATCATATCATATCATGATACAAATTTACCTTAGATCTCCAGCGTAGAGACATTAATTTTAGTCTCTTGTGTTTAATATAAAGATGTCTATTTTGAATGTGATGCATGTAAAACCATCTATTATAGATCCTTATACTGCTAGTAAAACTGTTCATTGTGGAAGGAATCGTCCATGTATTTCCAATTGATGTAAAAAAATAGATTTACTCGTCCTGGTACAACCATAGTTTGTAATAAAAAAAGTTGTATTCTAGCTAAATGATGTAACAAAAAGAAAAAAAAACCATGATACTATGGATCCAATTAAGTATAATCTTAGACCATGAAATACTAATCTTTGACTCGTGACAAAAATAGTCTTGAAAGCTTGGTATTTTGGATTTGGATTTGTCAGTAGGGGGAAAAACAGTGACCGATCTAGCTTCTGTGAAGTTTGAATGCTGGGTGGATCGGTCATGCTTATGTTTGCCCATCACTAAATAACTTTCCGCTCAAGTTAAGAGCCACTTTGGCCATCACTAAGTTATTTCAAATTGTATGTTGATTTTTTTTTTCACCATTATCTTACAATTGATTTCTAAACTATCAGGTGGCTGCTAATTTCTTTTTGGAATACATTTATTAGTTTGGTCTCAATATAAACAGTGGGCA